GGTGTACTTTTTATGTTTATATGCTATTATTATATTGCATTATATCATAATAGATCAATTGTGATAGATAAATAAGCCTTATAATTGATATTAGCGTAGGTATGGAATATTTTGTTGGCTGGAGGTGTCGGCCATTTTGTGCACTATTCCCAGGGGTTCCCGATTGGTGCCTTGACCATATTAGCTCCGCCCGCTCAGGAATGATCTCAGATGGTGAATTTGTATTATATTAGACATAAAGTTATAAGAAAACGATAAAAATAACACGGGGAAAAACGTAACAAAAACATAAACAAAGCCGAGTCAGCGCTTCTTACGCAATATGTTGCGTCAGCGCTGTCACCATGCCTGTTATAAATGGCTGTAATTCCTTTTAGAAACATTGTACAAGGATAATAATTATACCAGCGTGTAGCCAGAAAGTTCAGCTATTTTTTGGTAACAATAACTCAGTTTTCATATATTTTTTATTTTTTTTTTTTGCTCCGCGCGCGGGAACTCTGAATCCCCCCTTAATGTTAATTTGTGCATCTCCTGCTCTGCTACCAAACATAATATAGTAGGTTTTGTCAGTGTTAAGCGTAAGTTTATTGGCTGTCATCCAAGTCGATATTTTGATCAGCTCCTCGTTAACAATGGTGTTGAGGGTGGCAAGATTAGGGTGAGAGATGACATAAGTCGTGACGTCAGCAAAGAGAATGGGTTTCAGGTGTTGGGATATGTTTGGAAGATCATTGATGTATATGAGGAAGAGCAGGGGACCAAGGACACTTCCCTGCGGAACTCCAGTATCAAGTGGCCGTGTTGTTGATGCTGTGTCTTTAATGGTAACATACTGATACCTATTAGTAAGGTAAGATTTGAAATAAGCAAGCGCATGGCCTCTTATACCGTAATGGTCAAGTTTGTGGAGTAGGATGTCGTGGTCTACTGTGTCAAAAGCTTTTCTTAGGTCAATAAAAATTCCTAGTGGATATTCCTTATTTTCCAATGCTGTGTAAAGCAGATCTAGCATTTTTATGATTGCATCATTAGTGCTTTTATTTTTCCTAAATCCAAATTGGCAGGGGTTGAGTATGTTTTGTGCTGTTATAAATGAATATAGTCTCCTGTGCACGAGTTTCTCAAAGATTTTGGATAGCAATGGTAAGTTTGATATTGGCCTATAGTTGTTTAAGTCTGTAGGGTCACCACCTTTATGTATTGGTGTAACCCTTGCCATCTTGAGTAGTTCCGGGAAGGTGCTAGTTTCTAGTGACTTGTTAAAAAGTAATGAAATAGCATGCGAAAGGATATGGGCTGCTCGCTTGTACAGTAATGGTGGGACATTAGACAGATTCCCTGAGTTTTTTTAAGTGACTTTATAATCTTGGTGACTTCCGAGGGCTCAGTTGGTGCAAGATAGAAGGAATTTGGGAAATTCCCATCTAGGTAATCCCCGGCATGGGCATTAGTATGTGGGATTTTATTGGCGAGATTAGATCCTATGGTTGAGAAGAAGTCGTTTATCTTGTTAGCTGTGTCAGTGGGATGTAGTGGTGTTTCATTAGGTTTAGTTAGGACAATATTATTGTTTTTTTTCAGTTTGTGGGTCCCTAGAATCTGAGAGAGTGTTTTCCAGGTCTTTTTTATATCTCCTCTAGTGTCTGTGAATCTACTGGAGTAGTATAGTTGTTTGGCTTTCTTTATTACTTTGGTGAGAACTGATGAATAGTGTTTAAGAATATCTTTGTGTATTAAGCCCTGTCTATATTGCTTTTCATATTGGTGTTTCTTGTCAATGGATTTCAGAATGGTGCTGGTTAGCCATGGGCAACCAAGCCGTTTGTTTGTGATCTGTTTCGTTTTTATAGGACAATGTTTGTTGTATAGTCTAAGTAATTTGTTAAGAAAAATGTCTGTCCAGTCATCAATACCATTGGCCTTGGAGAATTCTGTAGGCCAGTCAACAATCTCTAGGTCAGTTGTGAACTTCCTTATTGAGGCCTCGTCATGGAGTCTAAATGAGACTTTGTTGTATTCAAGTGGTGGTTTATTAATGTTTGTCAGGAGGAAGGTAGGGTAGTGGTCTGTAGTGCTATCTGTGATTATCCCTGATTTAAGGGGGGCTAGTATATTGGTCCATATGTGGTCTATTATGGTTGCACTTGTCTCAGTGAGCCTGGTTGGTTTAGTTATTGTTGGTATGAGAAGTGTGTTGTTCATATTGTTGATGAAATCAGTTACAGGCTGATCATCTAGTAAGCCAAGGTTGATGTTGAAGTCTCCAGCTAAGAGAAGGTGGTGCTTATTCATTTGTCTGTTTGTTATTAGTGACTTTAATTTCTCACTGAAATTTGGGATGTTTGTGTGAGGTATCCGGTAAATGGCACTGATTGTTATAGGTGTCTTAAGGTTTTTTACAGTAAAATTAGCAAAAATGTATTCCCCATATTCATCACTAAAGCAAGTGGTGCTAATACAAGATAATTGGTTAGAGTAATAGATTGCAATACCACCCCCAACTTGGTTTGGTCTGCAGTTGTGAATTGCTGTGTATCCTGGTAGAGGGTAGATATCTATTGTGTCCTGCTTAAGCCAGGTCTCTATGGATTTGAACGTCATCTGTTTGGACCGTTTAAGGGTTAATGACGAGGTCTCATGAATGGAACTCCATCGTTAAGTGAGGAAAGGGCCCTGTACCATATTAAAAATTAATGATGATACAATTACCTTCATTTTGGAAATTATCTTAAGTTTCATCCAAAGTAATTGTTACTACCATCGTAAAGTCGAACTTCTAACCCGAACCCATTGTAAAGTCAAATATTGTAAATTGAACCCAAAATGCTCTGCATGACTATGGGCTTCCTGCTTGCACACCTAAATGTCACCCATCACTGTACAAGCACTGTATCATGTCACCCATCATTGTACAAGCACTGTATCATGTCACCCATCACTGTACAAGCACTGTATCATGCCACCCATCACTGTACAAGCACTGTATCATGTCACCCATCACTGTACAATCACTATCATGTAACCCATCATTGTACAAGCACTATCATGTCAACCATAACTGTACAAGCACTGTATCATGTCAATCATCATTGTACAAGCACTGTATCATGTCAACCATCACTGTGTACACATTGTATCATGTCAACCATCACTGTACACACATTGTATCATGTCAACCATCACTATACAAACATTGTATCATGTCAACCATCACTGTACAAACATTGTATCTTTGTCATCCATCACTGTACATTGTATCATGTCACCCATCACTGTACAAACATTGTATTATGTCACCCATCACTGTACAAACATTGTATCATGTCAACCATCACTGTACATTGTATCATGTCACCCATCACTGTACAAACATTGTATCATGTCAACCATCTCTGTACAAACATTGTATCATGTCTGTTACGACTTAATCTTCACCATAACAATAGGGGCACAAATAACTCCATTTTTTTGTTAGTTTTATTTTATTACTAATCATTTAGCTTCATTGGTATTTGGTTAGTGAATTAAAATAACCACAAGCAATTATAAATGAAATACTATACAGCAAGAAACCCAATCTTACGTTCAAATTCTCATTAACAGAGTATGATACAATAATTTCAATTAATAATCAACTAATTTAACCCTTTTAAATCTTTTAGAAAGGGCTGGGGTAACGAAATAGTTATCTTTCATAAGTGACATGAATTACCAGACCCAGGAAACTAATGGCAAAGGCAAGACAATAGACTTTGGGTTTTTAAGTTTTAGTTTAAGTAAAGGGGCTTTGGGTTGAAGGGCCAGTACCAAATCAGAGCTAGGAGCTGACTCCCTCACTCAACTACTTCATAGTATGACTTCAGCTCGGCCAGAAGGCGACGCGTGGCGTCAATTCTAGAACCCCCAATTGGTCACTACGTAGTGGTTCACATTCGTTAAAACCTAACCCAATAATAATATAATATAATATTTTAATTATAATAATCATGAGGAAAGATATAATATAATACAATATAATACAATGAGAGTACTGTTGATGATTCATACCGTACCCGATAATAATATATAGTCGAACCTGCTTTATCTAGCTAGTAATAAAGTGGTTCGCGATATATTATTACAGAACTTATTTTAACCAGGCCTTTTATTTTTGTATATAATGGAGTGAAGTAGGGGCGCGTAACAATGTCACCCATCACTGTACATTGTATCATGTCACCCATCACTGTACAAACATTGTATCATATCAACCATCTCTGTACAAACATTGTATTAAGCTGAAATAAACATTTAACTTTGTCTGTGTCTGGTTAGTGGTGTAGGTTTGAACCTTCATCCCGTAATCATGGTACAGTCTGTGACCAATTAGTGGTGGAGGTGTGACCAGTTAGTGGTGGAGGTGTGACCAGTTAGGTCATTCATAATTACTCATCCCATGTACAGCAGTTTGAATGCCTATCAGGTTCATTTGTTCAGGAGTTTCAAATTCTTCAACGCCTTCACAGAGACATACTCATGGGGCAGCTCCTGAACTATCTCCTGGGCCCCCTGCGGCACATTCCCGGTGCCCGTGAAGATGAACATCAGAGAACCAATGGATTTCGGCATCATGCCCAGCGAAATTTCATAGCCGGTGTCACAAATTGACTGTCTTGCCATCTCTGTGTTGCGGTAATTATGGGCAGGTCCAATGTGCTGTAGGAATCAACTGATTCAATATTTACTGATTATACTAATTATTTGTATTATTATAGCAGTTACTGATAATAAGACTGACAGAACTTATTGTCAGTACAGTACTGCCAGTAGAGTATTGCCCATCGTGGAGGGGTATTTGTAATGGCATACCATGAAGGGTGTGTGATGCCCAAGTGCTAGGAACATACCATGAAGGGTGTGTGATGCCCAAGTGCTAGGAACATACCATGAAGGGTGTGTGATGCCCAAGTGCTAGGAACATACCATGAAGGGTGTGTGATACCCAAGTAGTAGCATACCATGAAGGGTGTGTGATGCCCAAGTATTAGGAGACAAAGACCAAGTCCATTAAGAATGTTGATCATGCCAGCAACTCCAGTATACTTGCCGAACGCCACCACACGCTGGCCTTGCCTGTCACACATACGCTCATAGTCCAGCAACCGGATGTTCTGAAAACACAAAATACTGTGAATTTCTCAGCTCACACACTGAGGTCCGGGAGGTTGATTCGCGGCACGGGTGAAAACAGTAGGTTGTGTTTCCTTAAGACACCTGCTGTCACTGTTCACCTAGCAGTAAGTAGGTACCTGGGTGTTAGTCACCTTACACCTGCTGTCACTGTTCACCTAGCAGTAAGTGACCAGTGTGGGTGGCATCCTGCGGGACAAGATTGAAGGACCACAATGGAAATATGTAAGACAGACAGTCCTCGATGACCCACTGACTTTCTTGGGTTATCCTGGGTGGCTAACTCTCCCTACCCTGGGTTATCCTGGGTGGCTAACTCTCCCTACCCTCGGTTATCCTGGGTGGCTAACCCTCCCTACCCTGGGTTATCCTGGGAAGCTAACTCTCCTTACCCTGGATTATCCTGGCTGGCTAACACTCCTTATCCTGGGTGGCTAACACTCCCTACCCAGGGTTATCCTGGGTGGCTAACACTCCCTACCCAGTGTTATCCTGGGTGGCTAACTCTCCCTACCCTGGGTTATCCTGGGTGGCTAACACTCCCTACCCTGGGTTATCCTGGGTGGCTAACTCTCCCTATTCTGGGTTATCCTGGGTGGCTAACACTCCCTACCCTGGGTTATCCTGGGTAGCTAACTCTCCTTACCCTGGATTATCCTGGGTGGCTAACACTCCCTACCCTGGGTTATCCTGGGTGGCTAACTATCCCTACCCCAGGTTACCCTGGTTGCTAACCCCCCCCCCCACCCGGGGTTTCCGGGGTTCTAACCCTCCCCCACCCCAGGTTACCGGGTGCTAACCCCCCTTTTCGGGGTTTTGGGTGGAACCCCCCCCCACCCCGGGTTATCCTGGGTGGCAAACCCCCCCCACCCATTATCCGGGGTTTGCAACCCTCCCCCCCCCAGGTTATCCTGGGCAAACCCCCCCCCCCATTTACCCAAACCCCCACCCCAGGTTACCGGGGTTTGAAAACCCCCCCCACCCATTATCCGGGGTTGAAAACCCTCCCCCATCCCGGGTTTCCCGGGGTTGCAAACCCTCCCCCCCATTTTTCCTGGGGTGGCTAAAAAAATCCCTTCTGGGTTACCTGGGGGGCCCTAACCCTTCCCCCCCAGGTTTTCCGGGGGTGGCTAACCCTCCCACCCCGGGGTTATCCGGGGTTTCTAACCCCTCCCCACCCCGGGTTACCGGGGTTGCAAACCCCCCCCACCCAGGTTTCCCTGGGTGGTAACCCTCCCCCACCCCGGGGTATCCTGGTGGCAAACCCTCCCCACCCCCAGTTTCCGGGGTGCAAACCCTCCCACCCCGGTTATCCGGTTCTAACCCTCCCCACCCTAGTTTTTGGGGTGGCTAACCCCCCCACCCCAGTTATCCGGGTGGTAACCCCCCCACCCCAGGTTTTCCTGGTGGCTAACCCTCCCCACCCCAGGGTTTATCCTGGGGGGCTAACCTCCCCCCCCCGGGGTTATCCTGGGTTGCTAAAACCCTCCCCCCCCCCAGGTTATCCTGGGGCAACCCCCCCCCCAGGTTAGGGGTTTGCTAACCCCCCCCACCCCCGGGTTTACCCGGGGTTTCAAAACCCCCCCCACCAGGTTTTTCCGGGGTTGCAACCCTCCCCACCCCGGGTTACCGGGTGGCAAACACTCCCTTTCGGGTTATCCTGGGGGGCTAACCCCCCCCCACCCCGGGTTTCCCGGGGTTTGGCTAACCCCCCCCGGGTAAAAAATGTAACAAATATTTCTGATCTTACCTTTCTAAAATAGCATAAGAGGGCATTTTTGGTTTTCCTGAGCTTAATAGTTGAGAGAAAAAAACAGTCGTTCTTTTTGGGGTATAAGCTATCAAGGGGCCCCCTGCTTCACCCCTATGACACCGGTGTTTTCGATAGCCCTTTTTGTATTTTTGGGCTCCCACTTTCTGATAGGCCGAAATGATAAGACTACATAGTCCCCCATATCCAGAGTGATATTTTCCAAGACCTACCATGGATGCCCAAAACCCCAGATATACCCAACCAAGCACTTAAATGGTACCCCAGTTCTGAACACTCCCAACTCAAACCCAAATTTTTAATATTATTGCCATGCCCTTTTTAAGGTATTTTTGGGGGCTGAAAGACTAATTATTATATTCCTTATGGGACCCAAATTCATTCGTAATGGGGATTGAAAGCCCTTCTGGAACGAAGAAAGTTCGAAACTCAGGGTACAACTAAGTTGTTTCTCACTTACATACATACCTATGATGAAGTTTAATTGATAAATTACACACAGTAAGTGGAGAATCATCACTTTTTTACTAATGGGAAGCACTTGATGGCTTGTCTTAGACTCTGAACAACTGCCACCATCAGTACTGTCATGTCTTGCCAACATTATTAAGCAAAATTAAGGATATGTTCAGGCCACGGTAAACCGTGGATAACCGAAACTGTAGAAACTGAATCTCTGCATACGCGGGTTCTACTGGACATAAACATGAATATAAGAATGGAGGAGCACTGCAGCAGGCCTACTGGCCATTGGAAATAAGTCACTTTGACTTTTTTAAGTTATCCCAGGTTCTCTACACATATGCTGCTATGTATACCTGGAGATAGTTCCGGGGGTCAACGCCCTTGTGGCCCGTTCTGTGACCAGGCCTCATGGTGGACCAGGGCCTGATCAACCAGGCTGTTATTACTAACCGCACGCAGTCCAATGTACCAACCACAGCCCGGCTGGTCAGGTACTGACTTTAAGTGCCTGTCCAGTGCCTGCTTGGACAACCAGGGGTCTTGAAGACAGCCAGGGGTCTATTGGTAATTCCCCTTATGTATGCTGGGAGGCAGTTGAACAGTCTTGTATGATAATCTATGTAACTGTATTTGTGTATACCTGAATACAGTGGACCCCCACATAACGATTACCTCCGAATGCGACCAATTATGTAAGTGTATTTATGTAAGTGCGTTTGTACGTGTATGTTTGGGGGTCTGAAATGGACTAATCTACTTCACAATATTTCTTATGGGAACAAATTCGGTCAGTACTGGCACCTGAACATACTTCTGGAGTGAAAAAATATCGTTAACCGGGGGTCCACTGTAATTACTTACAACGTGCAATAACAATTTTGGTTTGCTAAGTACAAAGAAAGTCACCATCATGCTGGGGCATATCGGGCAGACTAATCCTAGCACATAATAACTACTTAAATCTAGACAATTTTCAGCCTATTTTTATGGTCATCTATAATGCAAGCTTCAAACATTGTATGCTAATTTGTGTAGCTGTATCTATGTGTACTTGTAAGTAAATAAACTTACAGTAGTGTGGAGATTAACTAGGACAACTTAGGCACAGTGCCCCGTGTCATGGTGGTAACAGGTGGTTTCACACAGTGAGGGTCTAGGTTTGATTCCCAGCCAAGGTTGAAACATTAAACGTGTTTCTTTACACCGGTTGTCTATGTTCACCCATCAGTTAAATGGGTACCTGTGCTTTAGTGGATTGGTGTGGGTGGCATCCTGGGTGTTAGTGGACTGGTGTGGGTGGCATCCTGGGTGTTAGTGGACTGGTGTGGGTAGCATCCTGGGTGTTAGTGGACTGGTGTGGGTGGCATCCTGGGTGTTAGTGGACTGGTGTGGGTAGCATCCTGGGTGTTAGTGGACTGGTGTGGGTGGCATCCTGGGTGATAGTGGACTGGTGTGGGTAGCATCCTGGGTGTTAGTGGACTGGTGTGGGTGGCATCCTGGGTGTTAGTCAATGACTGGTGTGGGTGGCATCCTGGGTGTTAGTCAATGACTGGTGTGAGTGGCATCCTGGGTGTTAGTCAATGACTGGTGTGGGTGGCATCCTATGTGTTAGTCGACTGGTGTGGGTGGCATCCTGTGTGTTAGTCGATGACTGGTGTGGATGGCATCCTGGGTGTTAGTCGATGACTGGTGTGGGTGGCATCCTGGGGGACTGTCCCTTTATAACTTTGTGTTATCCTGGTGGATAATTTATATATATGATAATTATATTTACATGTATCTGTACTAAATAATTATATTTACATATACCTGCACTAAATAATTATATTTACACATATCTGTACTAAATAATTATATTTACATGTTTTTATTATTATTATCACACTGGCCGATTCCCACCAAGGCAGGGTGGCCCGAAAAAGAAAAACTTTCACCATCATTCACTCCATCACTATCTTGCCAGAAGGGTGCTTTACACTTCAGTTTTTAAACTTCAACATTTACACCCCTCCTTCAGAGTGCAGGCACTGTACTTCCCATCTCCAGGACTCAAGTCCGGCCTGCCGGTTTCCCTGAACCCCTTCATAAATGTTACTTTGCTCACACTCCAACAGCACGTCAAGTATTAAAAACCATTTGTCTCCATTCACTCCTATCAAACACGCTCACGCATGCCTGCTGGAAGTTTCCCAAGCCCCTCGCACAAAAAAACCTCCTTTACCCCCCCCCTCCAACCTTTCCTAGGCCGACCCCTACCCCGCCTTCCTTCCACTACAGACTGATACACTCTTGAAGTCATTCTGTTTCGCTCCATTCTCTCTACATGTCCGAACCACCTCAACAACCCTTTCCTCAGCCCTCTGGACAACAGTTTTGGTAATCCCGCCCTCCTCCTAACTTCCAAACTACGAATTCTCTGCATATATTCACACCACACATTGCCCTCAGACATGCATCTCCACTGCCTCCAGCCTTCTCCTCGCTGCAACATTCATCACCCTTTCTTCACAAACCCCTATAAGAGCGTTGGTTTAAAAAATATACTCTCATACATTCCCCTCTTTGCCTCCAAGGGGCAAAGTTCTTTGTCTCCACAGACTCCTAAGTGCACCACTCACCCTTTTCCCCTCATCTTCTATGATTCACTTCATCTTTCTAGACCCATCCGCTGACACGTCCACTCCCAAATATCTGAATACATTCACCTCCCCCATACTCTCTCCCTCCCAACTGATATCCAATTTTTTCATCACCTAATCTTTTTGTTATCTCATAACCTTACTCTTTCCTGTATTCACCTTTAATTTTCTTCTTTTGCACACCCTACCAAATTCATCCACCAATCTCTGCAACTTCTCTTCAGAATCTCCCAAGAGACAGTGTCATCAGCAAAGAGCAACCTGTGACAACTCCCACTTTGTGGTGATTTTTTACTTTTAACTCCACCCCTCTTGCCAAGACCCTCGCATTCACTTCTCTTACAACCCCATCTAAAAATATATTAAACAACCACGGTGACGTCACACATCCTTGTCTAAGGCCTACTTTTACTGGGAAATAATTTCCCTCTTTCCTACATACCTAACTTGAGCCTCACTATCCTCGTAAAAACTTTCACTG